ACGACGGGTTTCAAAATTCATCAGAATTTCGACGGGTTATTTACTAATAGTTTATTATAATTTCGACAGAATTTAGATAGTCATTAAGGGATTTCAGCAAGCAACCTTACTCATACATTCTTGTATTTGATCTCTTATTTATATTATGAAGTCAATAATAGTATTAAATTAATAAAAGAAACTTACATTTTACTTGTTTATAAACCAAATTTAAAAGAACGTTTTATTTATTATAAATTGAATTATATATAAAAGACACAATTACCTTTGAATCTTTTTGATCTCATTCTAGCTAACCAACAAAATGAACATACGTTACTTACCTTTAGATAACTTAGTGAACTCTCCCAACTTAAAGTTATTTAATACGTCAACTCTCCTATCTGACTCTATCACGTGTATTTTCATAACAGAATTTAAAGTCATATTAAAATGGTAACAATATGTAGATTAATTTATAATTATAATAAATATGAATAGTATAAACTAAAAAAAATATGATTTATAAAGTATATGATAATTAACTATTCAATCAAAATAAAGTTTAAATCATATAATATGTTAAAATTCATATTACAACAATATATAATTTCATAATTTTGAATTACTATATAACAAAATTTATGAAATAAGAATTCAAAAAAATTTTTATTAGTAAAATTTTTTTTATGAAATATATAATTAAAATATATATATTAAATTAAATTCTAATATTTAATAAATTAATTAAATAAAAAAATTAAAATTTTATTTTAAAAAAATAATTTATTAATATATTTATTAATATTTATTTAAAATATAAATCATTTTGTACTGAATCATAATTAAAAATATTAAATAATTTAAAATAATTTAAGTAATTTAATAAAACTTGTTTATATATAAAAGTTTTGGTTTTTAAATATGAATCTGATAAAATTCCAATTATTATTGAATTTGTTATATAGTTTCAATATTCTTTAAATTTAATTTGCTATTCTAAATTAACATAATCTTAAATAAAAAAATTCAAATGCTGAAGCAAATCAATAATAATTAATTTTATATTATTTATTAAATATAAAATATTCTATATAAATCAAATTTATTTAAGATATAATAATAAATTTTGTTAATACAGATTTTTTATTATATAAAGTTTATATGAAATTTTTTTTATTATTGAAATATAAAAATATTCAAAATATATTAAAACTATAGTTCTTATATTTTGATACTATTTTTGATAATAATATTTCTTTTTCTTGAAAAATTATAAGCTTTTAAATTTTGTATAAATATTTTTATTATTAATATTATTTTTTTAACATACAATTAAACTATACTCTTTGTACTATAGTTTAATAATATTTTAAGAATAATATCTTTTTTATTGAAAAATTACAAGTATTTGAAATCTGTATATAATAGTTTTTATTATTGTATTTTAAAAAATGTATAAACTTCTTTATTAAGAAGTAAATACAAAATTTAATCCATGAATATGATAGAATAGGCCCTTTTTGAGCATATTTATGGATTAAATTTTGTATTTACTTCTTAGTAAAGAAGTTTATACATTTTATAAAGTATAAATAGGTTATCGTTATCGTTATGCACCATACTTCAATTACAATAAAAATTGGTTCAATCTTTGACCAATCATCATCTTGTAAATAAATGCTAGTAAGATCCCGATTTTTAGCAACAGCATTGGAACACGGTTGTCAGATATTTATGTTCTTGAATTTCTAACATTGGATTTGTATTTTTTATACAATCACTATAATCTAATCGAGTCTCATTGGATAATTAGTTAACCATCGCTGTTTTTTAGAAATTTTGTGGATAGCGATAGTACAGTATGCCCCGTATATATAGTGCGATACATGCATCGATTCAAAACAGAAATTTTATTTCTTTGCCTGTTGGTTTTAGATTTACAAGTCAGATACAATACGTGTCTACTTAACGACAAAAGACGGGATAGTCATTTGTTATCTTCACCACTACTTTTAAAGCTTTCGAAATATTATCTCCTATGGTCAAAGGTGACTATATAAAGAATGATTTGATTCATCACAAAATCTCTTGGAAGATGTATTTTTCGTATTTTTGATTATTTTTATTTCGTAACAATCATGGAGAAAACGTGACAACTTAAAAAGAACACACTGCGTTAAAAACAATGTCGAATTTTTTGCTTGTAAATTATGGAAATTCAAATCGTGAAAATTGATTTGAGAAATAATTCTTGTTACATTTTTGCACTAAAAGAGTCGCAATAGTCTACTTCTGAAATTCGATCTCAATAAGCTATTTATTCTAATTTCTTTTTTCTTTTTTTGGTAATACTCTTCCCATTTTATAGATACTCCAGGAACAAACAGTAGCAGCAGAAAACCTTTTGACAGAGAGGCCTTTTTGGCCAAGCATAAAGTGCGAAAAATTCAACCACACGAGAAAGAAGGTAAAATAAATGAATTTTAGTTTTTACATTGGAATCTAGACAATTAAGAATTTCCGACTAATATTGTTTGTCATGATTATCACAGTGTCGACTTCAAATTCGTCGGTATCAAGTTCAAGCACAAAGGCTGTAAAGAATTTTTCATCTACTTCAACAAGAAATGACCAAAAAAATACTCAAAATCAGAAGAGTACAATCATCGCGAATCCAATCAGTGCCGCGAAGGACGCGAAAAAACCAATCACAGTCATAAATAGCCCACCAGCCATAAATAACGATAGGGTGAAATCCACAAATTCGAAATCAGGCACCTCTTCATCTGCATCGTCAATCCTATCCAAATCGAAAACTTCAACATCGCAAAAAAGACCTGATACTTCGCAAAGTCTTAAGCCTGTCATATCCGGAAAAAATTTAGTAAAATCAAGCATCGAATCTATACCAAGTTCAACATCAACATCGCCATTACACAAGAACGATACTATCGGTTCCAAAAATCTACGCAAAGGTAAGAAATATTTCACTCTTAAAATATCGCAATACTGAAAAATATTCAAATTTTATTTCTCATTTAGTTGATGCGGCAAAAGTGGCTAAGCTTTTGAATTTTGCGGGCCGAAAGAATCCTCCACCAATCCGTGGACCACCAATCTCTGGCAAACAAAAAATCAAGTCTCTTGTCGATATCTGCATCTCAAAAATCATCCAAAATATTGAGAGTAAGTTTCTTCCTTTATTTAACGGCTTTTTAATATTTAATTCTGTATTGATTCCCTATTATTCCTAGTGCTGAATGATATTGGCAATGTGCCTGTTGATCTTTTGAGGCCTGTACTCAAATCAGTAAGTGCCGAACAGCTCAAAAGATTACAGGACAATTCGGAGGTAAGCATATTAATTCTTTGGAGTATATCAAAAAATTATTGTTTCTCCTTAACAGCATGTTACTTCATTTTTAATTAGGAGTTAGCAGAGGTCTCAAATGGTAAGATGATACTTACATTTTACTTGATTCTTTTCTTTTTGATTTCTAAACTTAATTTTTTTAGGATTGTGGCGAGATCTCTGCTTAAGAGAGTTTCGAAATGATGACGCGGCGGATAAGAGGATCCGGGATGAGTTGTATAACCATGAGAAATTATATTGGGTAAGAATATTTGCATTTTATTTATGGATTTTTTGATAATATATTCATCTTTTTATTAATAATTTAGGAATTAGACAAGAAACGAAAAATAAAGCAGGAGGAGGACGAGCGGAGGATTCAAATTTTGGCCGAGAATACACGAAAGCGGTAAATAAAATCATCTCTTAACTATATATATGATGGTTAATTACTGATTTAATCAATTTCATTATATAGATATGCGAGGGAGGAGGAAAAGAAGGAAAGGAAGAAGATTAAGGTGTTGCCGTTTACGCCTTTACCTAAAAACAGGAATAGTATGTGAATGTTTTATTAAAGGATTGAGTTTTTATACATATTTCATCTAATTTTCAATGAATTAATAGGCCGCCAACAAAAGTCGATAATACGAAAGTTATATGATAGCGCCCCGAAGCTTGATAGACCCTTTCGTACTTCATCGGTTGCTGCTTCTTCGAGAAGTGGGTCTACCTCTCAAGCATCAGTTTTTGTACGAGGAACGGGTTCAAGTGGCAGCACAGTTCGCTCTTCCGCTATCAGTAATTCCTTGCGTACAGCTTCAACAAGCGTGGCTTCTGTTCGGCCTGGTGGCGTCGAAAGGCGCCAAAATGGCAATGAAAGATTTCTCCCATATCGGAGAACAGAGGCAAGTTCGTCGCGTTCGAGCAGTCAGGGAGTAACTGTCTCTCGTGAAAGGCAAGTTTTTTTTTCTTTTTTAACATTATTTAATTATCAATTATTCAATATTTTCTTTTTAATTATCTAGATCACAAAAAGAAGAGAGGAGATGATTAACGTCGCTATTTGAATTAGTGGAACAATAATCATATGGACGCTTTTTACTTGAGCGTGGTTTTTTAGTGTGTAATTTCATATTAATAACATAATGTATATAATTTTTTTTAAAAAAAAATATTGAGAAAATTTTACATTCTAGGAATGTTATGTGGTTTATACGGTTTGAAATGGTTTGGATTAAATTGACAATTTTCTTTAGAAGTTATTATAATTTGGTATTAATTAACTTAATCTAAAATTTTACAAAAATTAATCATGTCAAAAATTAGTAATTTCAATAAAACCATTTCGAATCGTGTAGTTACTCGGTGTTGTCAATTTTTGCTTCCAGTGGGCTTTTATGACAACTGGAAGCCCATTGGAACATTCAATTTAATATTAATCTTGCTTCCAATGGCCTTCCAATGAACTTCTGAATGCTTCCATTGAGACTGACTCAAACCATGCAGTTTCAAATGATTTAAATAAAATTGCTAATTTCCTAAAAAAGTGTCGATCACGTTTGTTATACAATATAACATATCTGTGATTGGTTGATCTATAAAGAAATCGATTGGATAATTTTATAAAAAAGTACAGTGGCCCGCATAAATAACGCACCACTTGCATCGCTAATCGTTGATCATCTGATTTTCACTCACATGCAATCCGATGAACGCAAAAATAATAAACAAATAACATCTAATACTGTGCTACAAATGGTAAATAAACAGATATATTGTTATGTCAGTCTATAATCTATCAAGAGTGTAAAAAATATGCTTTAACTTTATTTTGAACATATAAAATCAAAAAAAGTTTTATAATAAAAAAGATTCCTTAGCATGTATTCTATTAGAATTAACTATT